TTTTTCACTCTTACCACATCGCTGGTGCCCAACAGCCTTACGGTACTGGGTTCTCTCTTTGCCAAGTTGTACCTGTGCCCACTACTATACAGTAGTCCTACTATGTCTTTTCCTAAAGACATAGTGCTATTTTATGAAAAAAAAGGTCCCAATCAAGACTGGTGGGTGATTCACAATTTAGTAGCACATTGAATTCAGATTTGATTCAGATTTCCCCCCCCAATGGTTCTGTTGGATCCCCATCTGATGCCATATCTTTCCCATTCAATCCAGTTGTGTTTGACAAAATTTTGATGTTGAATTGACACTCAATCAAGATCCGGTGAGACTCAATCAATATTAGATGGCAGTCCAGTCAGACAAAATCATTCAGAATTCAATTCAGATTCCTCTGGTCTGCTCAAGTGCAACAAAATTTATTTTGCATTCTTGGCATCCAATATGTTGACTCAATAATCAGTGTTCACCAACATAGGCTACCCATCTCACTTGTTTTGTGTGTGCAAACTTTACCCATCAGATTTGCTGTAGGCACAGACATGACCAATCTGACATAAATCACAAGGTGCTGGGCATGTGATTTTTTAAAAAAGGGTATGTATTGTTAAAAAAAGGTCGTGATGGCATGCAATGGGTTGCAATCATTTTTTGAGACAGATCTATGATTCTATGTACCGTAGTTACAAAGTACTTCTTCCAATATACCCAAAATACAGAAATGATCCATGGTGCAATGGTAACTTTTAAAAACCAATCAAACCCTGTACAAAAAATACAGTCACGACTACATACTTGCTGTACTCAAATCTTTCATTCTTCATTCGTCTTTAGTACTACGAGTTGCAGATCAATTGAAACTACGTTAACTAAGGCATTGGGAACGTTAATTTAACGTTCCGTATGTTAGCGCTAACATTCCGAATGTTAGTGTTAACGTACAGAATGTTAAGCTAACATTCCGTACGTTAGCGACGTACTGCTAGGTAGGATTTATACTATACCCGGTGGGGGCCACGCCAGCAGGTCCAGCAGCTGTTCAGCATCTTCCAAGATGCAACTGAGATTGGTCTTTTGGATGGATCCTAGTACAAAGCTGTGTAGAAAATCCTGTAGAAAATCGTGGATCAAGGTACTTGCCTTGCGATTTTGCTCAAAATAGAAGGGTTTTGATTGCAGGTACAAAATTGTACCGTGTCCTACTGTCGTGACCTTTACCTACCTCCAGCGTGCTGATCCAGCGTGTTGATCCAGCACACTAAACTGTTCTTTTCATTCTAAACAAGAAAACTCCCCGGTTCAAGCAACCGACCATGGGAATCAGCTCTATTTCAAGCACTTCCACTCAACCTTTTAGACTGTAAGTGGTATCAATGGATAGCTCTCTTCGATTGTCGATTGATCAAGCTTTGAACTGTAGCAAACAAGCAATTATAACAGATTTTATTGAGTGTTACAGTGTAGCTTCTTTTTTTACGACAACTGCTTCTTCCGACGTCGGCAACCAGCTCCTCCCCCCCCTTCATACGATGAATACACAGGATAGAGAAGACAGGGATGGTCTAATGAAGCTAAGGAATTCTTTGGGAGGCCATGATGATGGAATACTCTCAGATGATTCATCTGAAGAGGATTTTCATCAAGAGGAAGCTGTTGTCCCAGCTCCTGCTCCTCCCCCCCCTGCTCCTCCAGCCGCGCCACCACCACCAGCTGCTCCACCAACACTACCAGCAGCATCCCATCCTTTGTTCAAGACAGCACAGGCTACACTGGTCAAGAGGAAGTTTCTTTCACTGAAAGAAAAGCATGATTTGCTGCTTAGAATCAGGGAGAAGCTCAGCAATGATCTCATCAAAGCTGTCTTTCCTGGGGGGGACGCCCTGTCCCTAGAGATGCAGGGGGTGTATCACAATATAACTGCAACAGGGAACACACATCACAAGAGGAGATTGGAATGGGGCCAGGCCTTTACAGCCACAATGCTCGCCAAATTCTTTACAGGAATGGAGATCAGGAAGGGGAGGAGTGACCAACAACAAAAAAGGGAAAGCAGAAGGACAGCTGCCGCTGCAGCTGAGCTTGAGGATGTTGCTGAAGCAGTAAAGAAGGCAATGAAGGATCAAGATAAAACCGACCGGTGTAAAGCTACCAAAGGAAAGAACAAAGGCAAGATCTATTACCAGGAGAGAGGGCCCAGGGTACAGGATGATTGTGAGTTTGATCCAGCGCTGCTTGATCAGTATCCCTGTCTTGTTTGCAAGCACTACTCTATTATGCCAGTTGACGACTTGAGGGAGGTTGAAGAGTATAATGAGAAGCAGCGGAAGAAGCATGAGGAGGCTGTTGCTGCTTATGATGCTGAGAACAGTAACCTCCGAGGGCGTCCAAGGAATAATGATCAAATGGATGTGAGGATGGCTTGCTTCTGTTGCCAGATCTCTTGCAGGTTGGATACTGCTGGGGGGAACTGTCCTGAATGCAGCAAGCCTGGCGCTGACTATCTGGAGTATGAGAATGGCGTGCCAGTCGCTTGCCACTGTCCTCTTTGCAACTGCAGCTGTAAGATCCATTTCTATGCAAGCCAGAGGTGGAAGTGCAAAATGAATCAAAAGAGGGAGGCAAATGGTCCTTTGCCACAGGAAGACTATGCTGACAATCCTTTAGAACAGTTGAACAGCATTGTTTCCCACCATCTCTTTCAGGGCGCTTTGGATGCTGCGAGGGAAGGCTGTCATCCACTGGAGACTGATGAATTCAACCAGGACGCTATTGGATATGCTGCTGATCATTTGAAGAAAGACATTCACTTTCAGTCTAATCTTGGGTTCAGGAATGCTGTGCAAAAGCAGGTTCCTAGGGGATTGACTACCAAGGAGCATGGTCTTTCCATTCATCAGATCAGGCGTGGGGATGCTCCCACTAGGAGGAGGATGGGTGTGTCTGCCCAGCAGCAGTCGTGGCGGCAGCAGCCGGCTCAGCAGCAAGGAGGACTGGGTAGTCAGAGGGGATTGGCTCAGCAGTCCAGTAGGGTCCCATTTCAACAGCCCCATCCGGTCTCTTTTTCTGCCAGTGATAGGCGCAACGCTCGCCATTACAGCAACAGAAACTACAGTGATAGAGGCCACAGGAATGATCTTGGGGGCGAGAGAGGTCTTGCTAGGTTGCCAGCGAAGTATGCCCCTCTTGCCTCTAAACTGAGGGCTGCTACTGGCCAGGATCATGCCATTGATATTGCTGATAGTAGCAGTAGCGAGGAGGATGAGTACACACCTGTTGGTAGGAATATCCATCCTCGTTGTACTCCTCACACTGATGAAGAACCCTTTCATGTAAAGCTGAGACAACRAATCCTCATGCGTTTGACTGATCCTGGTGCTGTGGAAGACACCCCTCTCACTCAGTCTGCTTTACATCGAATCRATACRTTGCTTTCATCTTCCTCTGCTGGTGATGAGATGCAGGAGGTTCAACAACTGATGACTTGGATACATGATTTTAGTCATCTGTTTAATGGTGACCTAGTGGCAACTATTGAGGGCTTGATTAAGGCTTTGAAGAGGAATGCTGCCAGTGATAGAATGCAAGCTGGGATGCCGGCTGCTGGCTCTGCTTGGATGCCGGCTGCTGGCTCTACTCGGTTGCCAGCTGCTCGTGCTGCTTTGCCAGTTGCTGGCGCTGCTCGGATGCCAGCTCGGATGCCAGCTCGGATGCCAGCTCGGATGCCAGCTCGGATGCCAGTAGCAGCAGCAGCTGAATCGATGCTGGATACTAGATTGCCTAGTAGTACTAGATGGCAATCAGCTGGTGCTGGGGCGTCTGGTGTTGCAGCAAGGAAGAACCCTCATCTAAAGCTTCCTCCAACTGCAGGGTTGAAGAAGCCTCCTCCAGCTGCAGGGAACAAGCGTCCTCCAAGAAAGAAACCAGCAAAACGCGTGGCAAAAAGAGTAGCAGTAGCAAAGGAACCAAC